CATGAAACACAATTCCACAGACATTATTTTAAACAGAATTAAAGGCCCTCATAATAGCTAACGAAGTGTGACTTTCCGGATCAAGTCCTGCTTATCAAAGCAGTGCATTTCTTAAAAGTTCCAAGTAGTGTGCATGCCACTTTGTATGGTCTGGCTTTATTTGTTTAGTATGGGGGCTTCCTGCTTTGCTCTATATGAATGGAACCTCATTTTTCAATGAACCTACTACAGTCTATCTGAACCTCTGTCCCTAAAAGTGTCCAGAACAGTTATGAGAAAAGAATGGGCAACACGAGTCACAAGGACCCACTCCTCCAAGGTAATTCTTCCCTCTTTACCCACCATGGCAGAGGGGCTCAGGGTGCATTCAGTGCATAGGTTTACTGAAGCTGATGCTGCTAGCCATGTGGAAAGTAGAGGGCACCTGACTTCGCTCTAGTAACCCTACACAGGCAGCCAACTACTAGTCCAGACTCGTTACTCACTTTCCCTTGGCATGGTTAACCCGCAAATCAGGCTTGTTCAGACAGCACCAGTTCCTCTTTCTAATTCTCCTTTTTATCCTCCACAAAGCCACACCAGAGCTTCCTCTGCCCACAGCTGACTCATGGTGCTCCCATCTCTCTGTCTGTTTCCCTAGTCTCACTCTTGGTCTCAGATCAAAACACTATTAAACAGTTTGTCAGCGTCATTCAAAGTTGGACTTTCCTATTTTCTATTTACAGAATGTTTCCTGAATTAGTCTCCCATTCTCAAGTGTCAAGGATTCCTTGTTTTGGATTCCTCGAACAAGTGTCAAGAAAGGTGTCCCTGACCTCCTTAACTCAATCCTTTTCACCTCTTTAAATATGGCTTTTCTACTAGTTTGAATTTCTTCTATCTTTGGAATTCTCTCTCATTCCACCCTGGCCCCCACATCTAAAATGCAGCAGGACCACAAGGTCATGAGGTAACAGAGAGCTCTCGTTTACATTTTCAAATGTTAACCTGCTTTCAACACAATTGTCAGCATATCCATGGCTCAGTTACACTTACATACTGGACCAAGGCAGATGGCTGCTCCTCTGAATGTACAAAACAACTGGCTGTCAGGCTTAGTTTCTGTTGGTGCTGAAGTAGAGGATGTACATGTGCTCTTTAGAGACACAAACTAGCAATCAGAGTCGCAATATCTATAGCAGACACATATTAATACATATCACCTAAACTCCGGATTTAGTTTTTCCACATTTTTTTAAAAGAAAGTTTTGTTTTGACCTCTGTACCAACAAATCAAACATCATGTGTCTTAGCAAATGACTAAGTTGCCCAGCCAATGAACTTGAGACAGTGTCACTTTACAAAACAATTGATATTTTCCAAATATAAAAATCCAAACACAGCTACAAAGCAAAGGTTACTCAATCCAACAATGGAGCTAAGTACTGGATAACTTGTCATTCAAGATTTAGGAGAATAAGTCAAGCTGATACAAATCCCTTTCACCCCAAAAATGCCAGTATAGTAAATTCCCATAGACAGCAATGTTGGAAAACTAACCATGGAGGGATTTTAAATCCAAATCGAACACTCTTGGTGAAGGCACTAAGGTTATTTCTTTGTCCCACAGAGAATTCATGTCAGTTGTATATATGTTTCTCCTAGGAATCCAAAATGTTGTGCCCTGGGAAATGCCTTGGTAGTTTTGCTTTGAGGAATAAAGTTTTACACAAATGGAATCTGTGCTAGGGTTGAATTGTACACTAGACCTAGAGTTTCCTCAATCAAGAAAAACCTTAAAATGTTCAATATCACCTCAAATTGTCAATATCTCCTCTGCAAAATAACTTTATAATTATCTTTCTCAGGACTTCTACTATGTTTATAATGAACCAAGTTTATTCAGATTTCTTTCACATATAAAATATAAGAAGCATGTGTTTTCTTGGTTCTGGAAAGTCTGAATATATTTGGTTCTATGAATTTTTAAAGATTCTAAGCATTAATTTTTATTAATTTTACATAGAACTGAGCAGAATTATGGGATTGTATTAAATAAATATGTATGCATCAGATTAAATTAACTTGATAACTTGCTGCTCCTGAAGTTGTTAGTAAAATTACATCTAAAGTCATCTGGAGTGTCAATCTCATAAGATGACACAACAGGTAAACTGATTCCTCCAACTCCCGCTTCAAGCAGGTTGTTCTGTAGGGAACAATAATGCTCCCATGGTTGTAGCCACCAGCAAGACCAGGAAGAAAGGAATTCTTACCCTCTAGTCTTAAACAGATGAACTGTGGTATGCACCAGAGCATTCAAACAGAGGAGGAAAACTGGGGAGCTGCAGAATATGCTACACTTTAGAAAAAGTAAAAATCAGTTATAAGACTCTTCACTCTTTGCTCCCACATCTGCAGTTCCAAGACCACTGTCTTCCACTTTGATCTCCTGAGATTCATTTCACTTGCTTAAATTATAGAATTTAGGCACACTCAATTTCCTCTCACTTTGGATTTTTATAAAGTGAACTGATGCTATTCTTTGTTTCCCTTTTTAGTTTACATAATAAAAGAACATATGATTATTTTAAAATTTTAAAGCCCAAATCTAACTTTATAAGTAAAAAGGGGAAAACATCCTTTTATTCCACCCCATCCCACTTGCTTAAGATAGCCACTCTTGACAGTTTGGGGACAAGGAGATATGTATGTACCTGTAAGCAGGTTTAAGTAAATGTATACAAATCTCTTCGGCAAGTTGCTTTGTTCACTTAATATATCTTGATTTTTCCCATGCCAATGTACCAAAGTGACTAGCATTTGACTATGCATTTATTGTATTTCTCCCTTTCCCCATAATGAGAACATTCTATCAAGATTTAATGAAAAAGGTGGGTGCAGTGGCACACTCCTGTGATCCCAGCGGTTCAGGAGGCTGAGGCAGGAGGATCTTGAGTTCAAAGCCACCCTCAGCAAAAGCAAGGCACTAAGCAACTCAGTGAGACCCTTTCTCTAAATAAAATACAAAATAGGATGGGGATGTGGCTCAGTGGCTGAATGCCCCTGATCAATCCCCAGTACCCTTCCCCCAAAAAAGAATTAATTAAAAAAAAAATAAATAAATAAATAAATAAAATTTTAAAAGAATTAATGAATATCAAAAGAAGCAAGAAAAAACCCTACTGGTCTAATACTAAATTTTTCTCTGACAAATTAGTTTTTACATTGACTGAAGTCTAAAACTAGAACAAATGGTAAAATATTCATGTTCTGATATATATCTCTATATATTTATATATATAGATATAGATATTTCCATTATAAATACGTAGATTATCCTACATGGATGTTACCATATGTAATATATGTATGTTGAAATAAAGTTAATTTTCAAAGGCAAAAAGAAAAGGAAAGCATTTGCCTAGGTAGTAAGGTTTAATGATCCTGAGTAGGGAGAGACACCAAGTGGAAATTTCCCACACTTTGGAGCCAGGACACACAGGGTCCAAACCTAATTGCATCTCTTCCTGATTGTGGTTAGTATAGAATTACTTAAATTTTTTGAGCTTCCTTTTAATTAGAGAAAAATATTTTCAGATATTTAAAAATAAATGGTGTTAAGATGGTGTGTTGAATATCAATACTCAAAAGTGTCTTATTGCCAGGTGTGGTGGCGCATGCCTGCAATCCCTGCAACTCAGGAGGCTGAAGCAGGAGTATCACAAGTTCAAAGCCAGCCTCAGAAACTTAGTGAGATCTTAAGCAACTTTGTGAGACCCTGCCTAAAAATGAAAAGTAAAAGGGTTGGGGATGTAGCATAGTGGTTAAGCACCTCTGGGTTCAATCCTGGGTCTGGGAAAAAAAAAAAGTGCCTTACTACTGTTAATAATCCAGTAATTATACATGATGAAACTCACAGTCCAATATTCACATGACCAAATACCTGAAAACCTTACTATTTTGTCTTTTTGTTTCAGTATGCCTTCATGGTTTTATACTTACCTTATTTGTACACAGAAGGTACCTTAAAAATAAATTATTATAAACACCCTTAGTCACTATTATTTAAATTTTTTTGAAATAGTCTATTCCCCCAGAGCATCTTGTTGCACTGGGCTCATTAATGTTCCAACCTTTTCCCAAGCAATGCTGAATTTTACTTATAAGTTGTGATAAATACCATCCAATCAACTACCACGAAATAACTGAAAACACTCCCCTTGTCTGCCAGTGACCAAGTATCAAAAGCTTCCCATTGAAAACTCTAACCTCTCCTTTTGTTTAACAAGGCAGTCAGAGATACTACACCTTTAGTTGGCTAATGCACAGGTCTTGGGGAAGAGATGTTCTGCTCACATCTGGGACCTACCAAATAGTCATCTCTTTTCATAACATGCTGTTAGTCAACTATATATATGTCCACCTACTCTTCACATCCATCTACACTAAAAAGGTTAGATTATCACTAAACTTCTAGAAAAGGCAAAGGAAAATTTAGTCACTACACTACCCAACCATCTTTTTTTTTTTTTTTCCACAAGTGAGAGAAAACTGGGACCCAGAACCCAAGGGCATCAAACTATTTGGATTTGAGCCTTCACTCTTAAAGATTATTTTCTATTATTCATAGGCCAGGTATCATAGGTTCCAGTTGTACTGTGTGATACTTATTAAACATTTTTTGATTAAAGGAAATGTTTGCTGTTCCTAATGCATGTGGGAGTAGCAAAATGCATCGTGTGCCTGCTTGAAGGGTTATTAATCCACCTGTGTGTGTCCACGTGAGGAGGGGATAAAAGAAAGGGGGAGGTGCATTTGGAATTGTTTACTACTTAAATTTACAGGTAAATTACTGGGTATGGAATAAATAAGACTCACAAGAACTAGCAACCCCCATTACCATCTCAAAAGGGCTTCAGGGACATATCACTAAATTCAAGTACAGAAGGAAGCGCGAAGGGTAGAATTTCTCCTAGGTAGCAGGCCTGAGAAAAGGCTTTTTCCCCGTATATATTCACCTGGGGAGACTGACAATATCAATTTCCTCCTTCTGCCAAAGCAGGGCCATGTCCTTGTCACTGGGACTGTGTGGAGGTTCTCATCTCCGCCTTTCTCCCAGAGACGTTTGTGCCAAGGACGCAAGTGGGGCTGGGCCGAGAAGGGCCTGGACACCCGGGCCCATCCCTCATCCCCCTTCTCCGGCGGCAACTGGCGTCGGGCGAGGGCTCCCTGGGCAGCGCCTTTGTTTTCCCGACTCCAATTACGTTTGCGGAAGTGCTGCCGGCGCCCGGCACACGGGGGGCGCTGACGGCAGCCTCCCCCAGCACCCTACAAAGATGACAACAGACACCCGAGCCCAGGGGAGGGGGGGAGCGAGCGGCTGGCGACCGTGGTGGGCGCGGAAACGCCCACGCGCGCTCCCTCGGGCCCCTTCCCAAGCCCCC